CCAGTCAGTGCTGGAGGATCGGACGGGAGGGGGGAATCCCTGCCGGGAGCCGTGAGTGACAGTCACGGCTCCCTGCAGGGACAGGATGGAGAAGTGAGCGAGCGACTGTATGTGTTCGCTCACTTCCCGATCTATTGAGCCGACGTGGGACAGTTTAATTGTCACAAGTCGGCTCACGCTATGAGGCTGAGTGATTTCCACTCACCTCATAGTTCTCCTTTTAATGAACAATCCCATTTCTGGTGCTAAATGTAGGAAACTTGCATCAAACCAAGGCCCCCTATCATTTTTTACACATGCATTTCTCAAACAGGACTCTTTTTTGCAATATTTTTGTCATCAGGCAAAAATGTTAAAGGGACCCTGCCGGGTTCGGAAATGTTGCTTTCAGATGCTAAATGGATGTCAATAAAGGCATTTTATTTGGATAGAGATTTGAAGGTATGCTGGCAACATACTTTCCTACATATGACTATGTGCCTGATAGGTTACGTGTAATGCCACATTGAACGTAACGATTTGTGGGACTACAACGTTGCAATTAAGTTCAGCTGCCATTTTTATAGCCAACTGAACAGACAGAGCATCATTTATTTAAAGTAAATTGTGTGTGGCTAAAAACTGTGTGCCAGGGATTTTTTTTCCAGGCCGCTAACAAGCAAAACATGCATTTACTAATGGCGGTAATTTTTTCCTAATTTTAATGGACTGTCTGTCTGTAAAAAGAAAAAAAATGACAGCTGGCAGCACTGCTTTAGAGACACCCCCTTCCCCCAGCCCTCTCCGGTTTGTGTGTGTTGGCGATGGGTAGGGATGAATTCAGGTTCAAATTGAACCCAGTCTAAACCTGAGCTCCTCGAAACCAAAGAGGAGCCCCTCCTAAACACAGAAGGAAGCTCCCTTTTGTGCCATCCCATCGGCTGCTGGTAGGGAATTCCCCACCTGCAGCTTGACGTAAGCAAAGGGGCAGAATGCAGTGATGTAATTGACCTTATATGGCTACATGTCTATATTTGGTGACTGACATTTACCTTAAATGGCTGTGTGGCTATAGAAAGTAAAGGATGTCAGCACAAGCATCCCGCCCCTTTGTTTACATACAGCTGCAGGGTGGAGAGTGTCCGTATCACAGCTGATTGGGTGGAAGTGTCCATGGCACTTCCTTGCTTGGAGAAACTCCGGTTTTGGACCAGGTTTGGTCTGAACCTAAACTTTCATCCCTAGCAGTGGAATGTTGGCACAAGGTAGCTTGCCTAGGGGAGAAAAAAGTATAAATCTGGAACAAGTTAGCTGGCACTGGCAACCAATGAGGTGCCCTGTATGTAAATGTACTAACATGAAACGTGCTAACAGGAGGAGAGAAACCAAAGAGATTAACTTATTAGTCTATTGCTGCTCTTTCACTATCCAGTTACAGGCTGGGGACAGTGAGGTGCCCAAGTTGTGTTGCTTAACTGCAGTAGAAAAAAATGAATTCAAAATTCTTGCTGTGCTGCCCGACAATAAATATCAGACCTGGGTGGACAGTAATACATGTTGACAGATAAGACAGCTCTCATATAAATCTTTTCCTAATGTGTTTAGTTGTTTGTCTGGTGTTCAGTTTTAATGATCATTTTCTTAAAGAAATGTTTAGTTCATCAATGTAAATATTTCTGTGGTGTGAAATCATTATTTAACCTACTGCAAGGGTAATTTTCTTGTATGCCCAGAGATTGGCTGTAAAGGCTGGCTGGAGAGAGACCAATGTCTTGGTGAAAATGGTAGACATCTGCCAATCTTTGTAGTGAATCTCTGGGGCCAGGCTGGAGTAAAGGCTGAAGTGGTCACTGCCTTGGGTGCCATGCTGCAGTGGGCACAGTTAGGTCTCCTGTTTCTCCATCACCTAGCTTTGTTCTACAGTGTGCAGGACTGTAGTGCCGCTGATGTCTCAGTCCTGCAGATTACACTGGGTGATGGTGGCTCTGTCTGTGTATCGAGTGGCACTCTGTGCTGCTATCAGTGTGACAGCTGCCCACTCTGTATTGGTAGATCTGTCTGCTCCTGATAAACAGAGCACAGCGCTGGGATGACTCAGAGCTCCGTTGATTACACAAGGAGAGCCGTGTTCTCAATGTGTAATCTGCAGGAAGGAGCTATCAGTTTGACATCTCGGGTCCTGCTCTGCATTCATTTATGAATGAAAGCTACTATCATGGCCATTATTCATGAGTTACTGTTGCAAGTAAATAGAAAAAAACATTTTCAATAACATTTAGCCTTTTATAGACCCTTAGTGAACCGAAGTTCATTTTTGTAGCACAAATGAAAATCTAAAAAAAATAATGCTTCGTTCCAGAAACATGATTCTAGTACCTTTTTTATATAAGGGACAAATCAAAGAATAACAATTGTAGGTAATCCTCATTAAGCTGCCCATACACCTTGCGATCATCGGACGACACTTTTCGTCCGATGATCGAACCGTCGTACGATTTTCGAACGGCTGCCCCATTCTGCCCCGATTATCGCAAGGTGCAATCAGCAGTGGTTAAAAAAACACACATGGAGGGAGAGCGTATTTGCCCCCGACTGGCACCCGTCGAGCCGACGCTTTGCCCTCGCCACCCCTTGGTCGGACCGATGGGACACCCCGAGCGCCAGCGGGGAGGGGTCGCCGGAGCAGGCCCGCCGCCGAGGGGGCGCGCGGCCATTCTGCCCCTCCCCGGCCTGAAAAAAAAAAAGAAAAACACACCTGGACTCGACCGTGCGTATTTTCGTTTGCGCATGAGCAGTGTTAATCGTACGAATTTTGATGTACAGGAACGCCAACAACATTGAGCAACTCGTATGATCAAGGTTTTCTAACCTGCTGGAAAGTCAAAAGTCGATCGATTGTACAGTATTTGCGTTTCTACACTGCCCATCAACCTTAGGAATATCGGACGAAAACGCGATCGCATACGAAAATCGGCCGATAATGGCAAGGTGTATGGGCTCCTTTTAGTAATTTTATCTCTAAAATGTGTAGTTAAAGTAGTATTAAACGCTCAAACTTTTTTAATAATGAATCCCAATCAAAGAAATATACATTGCCCAGCAATGTATTTCTTTACATTTTTGCCCAAACACCTACAGTCATCATGTTTTTGATGACTGCTACCCTGAACTTATGTCCAGTCCAAGATCACAAGAGACGGAACAGCTTCCAGCAACTGTCCATCTACTAGCTGGGAGAAGGCAGGGGGCAGGAGGAGAGCAGATGAGTGGGCCTGCCTTGCTGTGCCAGTGTGTTTGTGGAGATACACACAGCTTACTAGCACATACATGGATGGCTCCATAGGACCCTGCAAGGGAAAGGTGCCAAACTAAAACAGGATATTAAGGCCAGTGCTCAGGGGACCAGATGATTCTGCAGGAAACTAAAACTTTTAAATGTCAAAGAGCAGCATCCATTGTAAATCTGTAAAAAATAAGTCAAGGCAACTGGACTTGCTGTATTTTTCTTGAAGACGTTTCACTGGTCATCCAACCAGCTTTCACAATTGAGAGAAAGCTGGTTGGATGACCAGTGAAACGTCTTATTTTTTACAGATGTACCATGACCTGGATGAATGAGAACCTTCACAGACCACATCCATTGAAAGTTAATTAATCAGCATTTTAAATAGCTTAAACAATTTGTGCAGCCCCATTTTTTCACCACCCATCGTGCACCTTTTCTGAACAACCACCACACTTGCAGCCCCACTTGTCTCAGCATCCACACATTTCAACCCCCCTTCTCTCAACTGCTTCCAAACCTGAACCCCATCTTCTCTCACCACTCACTGTGCCTGCACTCCTCCTTTCACTACTGCTTGCTCCTTGCAACCTTCCATCTCACCCCTCCGCTCTCAACATTGCACCTGCAAACCCCCCTCCCTGCTTTCAACACAACTCCTACAACCCCTACTCTAACCACCATGCCTATAATCCCCTCTAACCAGTGTACCTTCTTCTTTGTCTTACTCCATGCCTGCACAAAGCAAAGGCCCCTTCATCACTGGACCTGTACACCTTCACCCACCCCTGCTGTTAACACCCCTACCATCATGATGGTGCTTTCATCCCTCTTTCAATGCACCTGTGCATTTCCCCCACTTCCAAAAACATGCCTGCACCATCACTGCCATTACCTCACCTGTGGACCCATATTTCACCACCAATGCTACACACTTTGACAACTGCACCCCCTTTCTCCCCACCACCATGCCTGTACCACCTCTCTTATTGCACCCCTGACACCCAATGCCCCAAGTTTCATCCTCCCTTCCTGCTCCAAACACCACAACTGCAACTCCCTTTCCCCCTTCTCATACTCTTAGAACTCCAATTCTGTCCCTTCACTTATGCTATCCCACAGTGCAACATAGGCTTATGTCAGAAGACAAGGTGTTTTGCTAGCTATACATCATAGTGATGAAATAACATTTTGATGTAGATTATAGGATTTTATTAGGTAGGTTGGCATAAACTATGTTATTCATTAATGTTGCAGAGGGCCCATTTATACATAACTGACAGGCTATTTCAAATATAGCATTCTTGGTTTGCTTTGTTGTTTTTGTGTAAAGGAAGCAGGGCCTGCTCCCTAGAGTTCTGTGTAGTAGAATACACAAATGGATTGGCAGCTCAAGTAGACAGTAGTGTGAGAAAGAAAAGATCAAATGAATATGAACCTAGAACACCTACGCAACCATACTCAAAGTCTCCTTGGATTAGGAAGATGCCCGATTTACCCTAAGTGACCTCATGTGTCTGTAAGGGTGCAATGTTTCTCCATTCTTGAACTCTTCCCATCTCTCTAGACTTTATATCACACTACGCAGAAAAGGTAATCACCCACACACACCTTGGGCTTTCCTCCACTTTTTAGCCCCAGACCTCCTTTCCAGATATCCCAAAGAAATTGCTATTGCTTTTCTATCATTCTGTGTTCCTATAAATGTACATGTTATATTATATTTCTTTTCTTGCAGTGGAAACCATATATTTCAAGGCCTGGCTGCTGGAATTGCAGTAAATGAAAATGGAAGAGGTCAAATTTCAGGTATTACTCAATACTCACAAAATTGAGCCGTAATTACAATTAATTGTTGATTTTTTAATGCTTTTTGCTTTTATTTAATTTATTTTTTTCTTATCAATTGTTGAAATGCATCTATATATTAATTTTGCAGTTGCTAAACTGTAAATGTTTGTAGCAGAAATATTCTTGGTTGCGGAGCTATCGCAGCTTAACAAGCAGAGCTCTCATACCTGTTTATCTCCAGTTATGTTCTTTTATTGTTGTTGCAATGTATGTCTGGTATGCTCCCTGTTGTAAGGCTCTGCATAATATGTTGTTGCTATACAAGTAAAAAAAGACGAAGAAAGAGAATTACAGTTAAGAATTGTACATATGCATTAAAAGAAAAATCAGTCTCAGCCCAGCCCTAGCTTCACAATACAATTGATTGATTGCTTTGATATTGACTTACATTTATGAAGCCTTTTATTTGTGTTTTTTCACTTTGTGCCCATGATGGCTGAGAAATTTGCAGGCTGGATGACATCTAGTGCTTCCTCCCAGGGGTTTGGGCATCAGTAACATGCCTTATACATTTCATCATGAAAGCAGCAACGTAACATGGAGCAGTTTCAAATGCCAGCTATCACTGAGTAAGAAATGTCTAAAAGCCCCTCGTGCTCTTGGAATTTTCTAGACATAGTGTGGGCATGGCTGACAGTTGGAATGTGGGCAGACAACTCCATGTAATTCTGTTACCATAATAATGCCATTGTAGTGTAAGGGTGCTCCTACTGTACATCAGTCATAGTAATAGCGAAAAGTCCATCCCGCACACCATACTTCTGGCCTGTGAAATAAAGTGGTGCCTGTATGGCTATGGGTAGCACAGTATAATCTAATCCCAACACATGTCATCACTACCACCATTAAAAAAGCCTGTTTGTTTTGTCTGTGATCTTGACAAAGGGTTTTCTATGCAGTATTAGAAATTCCAGCGTTCTACATTTATGCTGCCGAAGTAAGACTTGAGTTATTTGCATCTATTGTTGGTGTGCTGGCACCTGTTTGAGTTGCATCAGGTATAGGGTGAATGTAGAGTTCTTCCACTGGCAACTGAAGGTAATTGGATGAAACCCTGTTGTGACGTCAGACGGTCTGATAACTGCGCATATCATGACAATGGTGAATGATAAATGAAACATTTCTTTTGATATTTTACTGTGGGCCAGTAAATTTAAATATGGGGATAGTTATATTTTATGCCTTCAGGTCAGCTTTTAACCAGTGGTACCCAGTACAAAGTAAATAACTTATTTTTAAATGTGAGATTAGGCATGCAATGATGTACACTATAGTCCATAGCCATGTAATGATCTAAAACAGTGTTTCAAAACCTGTGTCACCTCAGGACCCACATTTGTCCTTGGTCATTAAGTTGTGACCCAAGTTGCACTGCACTGGAACACACTGCATTGCGGTACCACGAATTCTGGTGCGGGCGATTGAACTGAGGGTGGGAGATGCGATTGGGGTGCCATTCAAATGAATGGCAATGCAACACACCTCCCACACCAGAATTCACGGTAGGTGCAATTTTGCGTGGTACAGTGCGTTAGTCACACAGGACTGTGCGATTAACCCACTGTACTAGTGTGAACGGGCCCTCAAAAACACTGACAGACACGCACAGACACAATTTCACACACTCATAGGCATTCTCACACAAGCACATACACACTCCTAAAAAAATTAATTAAAAAAAAATGTTTAAGACCCACCCAGTCTCCCTATCTTAGGAAAACTGGAGTGGATCCTCAGCCTGGGATACATTTTCGGATGCTGTGCTGTGACAGAGCTACATCCATATGTGAATTGCTGGTACAGCTCTGTTGAGTGCCCTGCAGAGTTTCCAGAGCCAGATTGTGATGGTCCAGGCACCTCTACAGGACTTGTAAGGAAGCTGTAAGCAATGCATGTATAGATGGAGCTCCCTTGCGGCCATGTCCCCACCTCAAGCTAGCACTCAGCACCAGGCAGCATATTTTGAGTGGCTGCTTGGCGTTAGAACTGACAGTGATGCGCTAGGGCAGGGGTGCCCACAAGGTCGATCGCGATCTACCAGTCGATCGCGTAGCGATCACTGGTAGATCGCCATGTCCTCTCCTCCCGCCGCTTCTCTGGATCCCCGCTGCTCTCCCCAGCGGGGATCCGAGAAGAAGTGAAGGAACCGGCGGCGGGGGCGGGCGGAGGACGGAGCCGCTGTCACAGAACTAATGCAGAGCGGTGAGGAGAGCGAGAGAGAGACTCTTGGCCAGGATCTGACAGCCGGCACCTCTCTCTCCCCCCTCACTGCTCGTCCGTTCTGTCACAGCGGCTCCGACACATAGTACTATGTGTCCCCAGTTATTAAGTAGATCTCCAGACGAAAAATAGTGGGCGCCTCTGCGCTAGGGGGAGGCTGAGGAACCTCTCACCTAGAAAAGTGGAAGGCATACGGCGACCCACTGAACAAGGGGTCACGACCCACCGGTTGAGAACCAAGGATCTAAACTATAATCCAGAACCATGTAGTGATAAAAAATATAATCTATAACCATAATATGATATAAACTATTTTCCAGCATAATATTTTTGTTCAGCATAATAACACGGCTTTGATTTGCATTTGCAGATCAGCTATTAAATCTTTGGTAGACCCTGGGGGCAAGTGGGACCCTACAGCATACTTGGCAGAAAAAGTATTTCTGTTATATATATTAAGCCCATTAAATATAAAATTTGTGTAGATTATAGTAATTTGTGTGTAAAATAAGCACTTTGCATTAAATATGATTTTTATATTTATTGATGTCTCAAATAGGCCTAATTGCTAGAATCGTTGGCGACCCTTGCATCCCACATTGTGAAGCAGGTGACGATGAATTTCAGATATAACATTATAGCAATTATTTGCTCCCTCAGTGCAGCAGAAATAAAAGCCCTGTTCTCTAGATTTTGACATCGTGAAATGCATAGCTTGTCAGTTTATGCAGTCAGAAGCTTGAGAACAAAATACCAAATTAAAATACAAGTAGGACACCTGTTCAACCAAGCAAAAATACTTCATTTCCTGAAATAACAAGATGCCTGATTACCCTAAAGCTGCCCATACACCTTACGATTATCAGTCGAAAATTTTCGTCCGATGATCATATAGTGGTACGATTTTCGTACGGCAGCCCCATCCTGCCCCGATGATCGCAAGATTAATTTAGCCGTAATTAACGAAAAGCACCTGGACGAAATGCAGTAATTGATTTGCCGTTTTTGCCGGATTTTTGTTAGCGCAAGCGCAGTGTAGATCGTACGACTTTTGACGGACGGAAACGCCAGCAACCGTCAAAAGTCGTACGATTGTACAGTAATGTCGGTCGGACACTGCAATGCACACATACGATTATTGGACGAAAAGTCGATCGCATACGAAAATCGTATGATAATCGTAAGGTGTATGGGCACCTTTTAGTGACTTCTACTTGTCCATGAGGACTTGATGTTCTCCTTCTCCAACTCCTCCCATCTTTTTTTTTCAGTATATTACACATGTAGTTTTCAGTATATTACACCGCAGCCAAATCACATTTCTCATTGCTTCTTCCTCTGCCTTTGGCAGTATTTTTGTATCCCATGCATGTCATTCATAGCTCATGCAGGAATGATGGATATTAAGGAAAGGGCATGTAATATGAAATATTATAAAAGATAGCAGTTTTATAAAGGTTTGATGTTCTAAAATAGTAAAATATAATAAAAACATTTTAAGTTGTATTTAGTTCAGGGTTAAAAATAGGAGGCAGAGAAAAGTGATCTTTATTTTATTTGTTTTATGTAATTGCTGAATTTATTTAATAACATTGCTTTGAATGTATAACATTTTTGTAAGGATTTTGAAAAGGTCTACCAAAACTCGTACTGTCCTGTCACACTTTTAGAATTGAGATACAAATTAAGATGGAAAAAAAAAATCTAGAGAGCTATGTGCCTAAATACATTATGTACATTCCTTGGGAAATTAAATGGTACTACTGATTGGCCACTTGGGTAGATGTCTGGTCACTTAAATTATGTGGGGAATGCATATTCAGGCAAAACCTATTATTACAGATAGCAAAGCACAAAGGCATTAGAGAGGATGTCTTCTGCATATTCTCACTAACAATATTGGTTGCGAAAATGGTCCTTTATTGTCAACAACTAAATGGGAAAGGTGCTGGGCACAAAGGAAGAGGACCAGCGGGAGCCTGTTAGTGGTTAATAGGAGCAGTATGAGGTTTGACCCAGGACTCACTCCTTTACTGGATTTTCTCTTACCATATTCAAAATGACTACACTCCACACACATATCCACCCACAAAATGAACATATTGTTTGTGCATACAGTATGGTGTCACATATTTTGCACTTCCTTTAGCTGCTTACCACATCCAAAAACTTAAAATCCGCCCACCTGAGCATGACACTAACAGTCACTCAGGGGATGAATTGGCAGGGGGCATTTTCCCCCAGGGCTGGTACTAATAAGATATGTTGGGCTGGTGGTCCTGAGTACAGATACATAACAATTCAGATATCGATCAGAGCAGAACTGGAATTAAGTCATTAAGTGACCCATGGTGAGCATTATTACACAGTATATCTTCCTGTTTCCATTTCAGAACTGTGATCACAGCTTCTGGTAGATGACATTTTTCCAGTACCATGTCATGTGACTGGATGAATGCCAAACTACAAAAGAAGCTGATGCTGGAAGAACCATGTCCTTTTTGGAACATCCTCCTTTATCATCCCTACCCAATCACTACAGCATCATGGCACACTTTACGTGATATGCTTTTAGCCCACAGAACTCTGTCCCTACCATGAAAGAAGCACCTGGTTGTTTTTGCCTCTCACACCAAAGGCTCCCAATTTTCCCTTGCTGTGACTAGTATGTATGATATAGTTAATTATGTAACACATGTATGTAAGGGCATCATAATGCAAATAGGTGATCACTTTCA